ACATCAAAAGCCCTCCCTTGCCACCCCGCTTATCAGCTTTAAAATAAGCGTTTCACCTAGTGAAAAATGAATGGTGCGCATGCGCGACTATGACGTAGAGTGGGCGGGGCTTCCGGGAAACCGAAAGTGAAAGTGAAAGTAGAAAATAATTGTTCCAATAAAAGGTGACTATGGTAGCTTTTAGCATATTGTAATGACATAATAGGTAAGTATAATTAACTTATAAAAACCAAAATTACATAAAATTTTGGGAATCTGAAATACAATTTTGAACTTGAATGTCATATACATGTATTTCCTATTGCTGACCACATATACCCTAAACGGTTTTATGGGGTATGGCAATGATAAGCTGTAAAAATATAAAATGGTAGATAATGAATATATATAGCATATTATGATGTCACATTTAGAGTTAAGATTTATTTAGAATAACAAATTTTGCTATAGTGATACACATTTTCTATTTGACCCTAGCAACAAGTTCAACAACTGAAGTGTAAGGTGCCACGCCCTCTTTCTTGAATTTTAAGGAGAAGGTAAAGAGAAAAATCAGAAAAAGTAGATGCTTTTCCTAACTCAGCACTTTTGAGCCTGCTTTGCAAGGGTTCACAAACTTTTTTTTACATGCCTTGGAGTCCCCTACAAGAATCTAAAGTCAAATTGAATCTAGGTGTTTTGGACACAAATGGCCTTGGCCGTAGTACTATTGGTTGTTTTTTCTATTTTTATTTCTTATTTCGACAAGGAATTAAGATACTATTCTATTCTATAACTTTGTTACTGCGGCGATAAACCTTTTAACTCTAAGGCAAGTTTGGAAAGATGAAATATTCAGAAGTTTTTAGTAATATTCAGACATACTTGTGAAGACTACATACAAAGAGTCATTCGACGCAATCCAAAGGCTGTCAGTTAGCTGGGTTGCGACGTTGTTAATCATAAATATCGCATTAACCAACCCAGAATTAATCTCGACCCCACAGAGAGATTGTTTATGAATCATTTCTAATATTATTGATCCTCTTCATTATACTGTTTTTATTTTACAGGGCAAATTATATAAGAGAATAAAGCACACGAATATTAATAAATTATTAAAGTCTTGCCCATTAAATCATAAATACTTATAAAAAGCGATATCGTAAAAATGTATATAACAAGCAGTTTAGATGGATTGCATCGGATGGAGTCGGTTTGTAAACTTACAAATTGAGATCATTATTCTCAACGAGTCAGTGAAAAACACTTCCAATCTCCTCATCCATTAAAAATTACAGCGATATGAAATGTGTAAATTCAACGACAAAAAGTAATTAAATAACGGTGTGTAACATCTTCCAGTCAATTTCACAACTTAAAACACTTCCAAATACAACATGTACAACCGCAACATATTATGTCACATTCTTCAATTTAAAACTATTCTGATATACCAGATCCTTGATCATCAGTACAGTGTACATGTATTTCGGACAATTAAAAAGATGTCTGGTTTTACCAAAAAGAAAGAATACATAAGAATAGAAATAGAAAATAGAACTAGAAATAGAAGATCCTGAAACTTCACCCATAAAATGTGAAATTGATTTGTCAAAATAAAATCTTCCTTTCATAAATCTATATCATGTATATTATCTTAGTATACTAGTGCTACGACGTGTCGCAAAAAGGTCGCGCACGCATTGTTACACATTTTCGCTTTTTTTAATAGCCTCTTTACTATTAATGGAAACGTAATTTGACTGACGTGTCGCTAAAAGGTCGCGCACGCATTGTTACACATTTTCGCTTTTTAACACCACAGAATGTGACGATTTTTTTTAGAAAAATGTACACATATGGAAATCCTTTCGTCCTCCACATTTGCCTCTATATCTCAAAATATTTAAGACGAATAACTCTGATATCGTATATGTATTAACAATGGGATAGGAGCATCATAAAACACGAATCAATTGATATTTTAGGTGAAATAAATATACGTGTTGCTGTGCTTGAAAATAGGCGAATGGCGTAAATAAGCCCTATTTTAATGAATTTTGAAAACCTTTCGTCCTCCACTTTACCACATACAACAGAAAACACATACTTTTGCAAAGAAAATCAACTATTTATTAATAAACTAGAGTTTAAGAGCAAAATAATCATGTATGATTTATTAAAAATTGATCTCGTATTTTTTGTTTAATGTACACCTGAAAAGTTGAAGGTAACAAAAAATGAGCAAAAAAGGTCGCTGTCAACAGATCAGAACTGGGTTCCAACAGAATTCCTACAAACTCATGAATGAAATAGCCATTGCATGGAATTAACTTACTTTTGTCAAAATCAAAGTAGAACTCTAGTTAAAAAATATATTGTGCTAAATTATTGCCATTTCTTAGTAAAATGTCGTTCTCCGGTACGTTGCCAAAATTATTCAATGGTAATGGTACCCCGTGTTAGATGATAAGATCACTGGTGATCCACTCGATTACGCTGGTTACCGAAACGATTCGCTTTGGTAACAAAATGTCGGATCATCGAAGGTACGATTTTTCTTTTTTCCTTATTTCACACGTTGTAGGCAGAATACACACGACATTTTTAACACAAACGTGTATCAGTATCATAAGTTTAAGAAAATGTATATATTTGCGAACAAATAGTCCAGAAGACAACAGAATCGTCGATTTAATTTTTCGAAAAACAGTTAAGATATGCACTTTTAACCCAAACCGTTTATGTAACTTAAGTGAGGAATTAAATCGACGGTTCTGTTGTCTTCTGAGATATTTTTTTCGCAAACATGTACATTTTCTAAAATATATGATGCTGATACACGTTTGTGAGAAAAAAAACTTCGTGGGGATTCTGCCTACAACGCGTGAAATGAGGAAAAAAGAAAAATCGTACCTTCGACGTTCCGACGTTTTGTTACCAAAACGAACCGTTTCGGTAACCAGCGTAATCGAGCGGATCACCAGTGAAGATAATACAATTATTGTAGATGTACACATCTGTTGGATATTCTCCATATCTACATCGTTAAAAGTGCACGAAAGGCGTTTCAGAAATGACAGGTGTAATTTCAAAATAAAATTCCTAAGGCGCTTTAGAAATGTTGGTGTAATCAGGATGGCGATTTTGTAAAGCGCTTTCCATTGAAGCGCTCATTTTGTTTAGGGCAAATGGTAAAAACCCGGGTAAGGCGTTTTGCAAAAACCGGTCGGTAATGCCTGGGTCACATAGCCGCCGGGCGCCGGCCGATGAGTAGTCATCGGCCGATTTATAAATCGACCGGGCGCCGGTGACTTTTCACCGATGTCTTGATCTAATCGTGAGTATGGTCACATTAGTACAGGCATCGTACGGCGCCCGCAATCAATTGAATCTGAAAGACATCGCACGGGTATCGCAAGGCTATCGGCCGATGGCCGTACGGGACCCGCCAGGACATCGGTCGATTTACAGGCCTCTAGATTTATACTTAATCCCAGTATGACCCAGTATGACTGTTCCACATGGCGTGAATGCAACATTTGAAAACGAAATACAGGACTTCCAGGATAATAATGTTTTCATGCAATAAAAATCAGAAAAAGAAGATCCTCTTTTGAGTAAATAGGTTCAATATTTAGAAAAAATGTTGACATGGGGTCCCTATTCATCATTTTTCGAATTGTTTGATTGATATTTTTATCATTATGGGTACTTCAATTGAAAGAAAACATATTGTTTTAATAAAAACACTCTATTTGTGCCCAGAAGGTACTCATGGTGAAAGATATGACCGTCTAAAATCACTTGCCATACTGGACGTGGTCTTTTCATCACAGTGCACCCTGATCTTAATTCATTTTTAGATCTTTCATATAAAAAAATACTATGTCTACCTGTCCATCCGATGCTCTTAGCAAAATTCCCTATTTCTCCATCTTTCTTTCGTCTGTTCTTGTAAAGAGAATTAGTTTGGTCATAAAAATATGGCAAATTGGCATATTTCTTCTGTTTCAAGTGGTGTACCCGCTTCCCTATAGACACATCTAAATCTTCATCATCCACCAGCTCAGTAGCATTGTTATTGTCTTTTCCCACCTGTCTTCCCAAGGCCTTCCTCATATATGGCCCATTGGCCTTATCCCCTCTATCCTTAGCCTTTGGCATATTACGTTGTAATTGAGACGTAATTAATCGTAGTAAAATTGTGACCCTTGAAATTACTGTACTCACAAAAACATTCCGAAGGTTTTTAAAATAAATGATTTGTAATGGTATATGCATGAGTGAATATACGCATAAAAATGTAACACTCTATTCAATGTGTATGACAGACATACACGATTAATGTCAATATAAGAACGACTAGATCAACCCACCCACCCAGCCATTCAAATGTGTGCCATTGTTTTATATACAGTAAGCTTAATCGTTCCATTTATGTTTTATAAAAATCTCTGACAGTGTGTAGTAATTATAATTCCTTACCTCATTATTTTTAAAACCTTTATATCACTTTATAAGTAATCATTATTAAGATTTATCCAACAAATCAGCACGCAAAATCCAAAGATGACCGTGCGATGCCACCGGGCGCCATAAGATAATCGTACGATGATCGGGCGGGACACGGCCGGGTAGGTACCGATGAGTTTGGTTGAGAAAAAATCGCCAAGACATCGGCAACTTTTATCTCCGCGATAAAACTCTGCCGGCGCCCGTACGATGTCTAAAAATCGGCCGATGAGTGGCGATCATCGCCCGGCGCCCGTACGATGCCCGGGCTCGCCGGCCGATTTTGAACAAAATACTCATCGGCCGGGCGCCGCAGTGAAAATCGGAGCCTATGTGACCAAGGCATTACACAACACTCCAAAAGCACCCAGGGTTCTGGGTGTTTTGGAAAAGCGCTTTTTTAAATCCGCAATCGTGATTACACCTATTTTTCAAACCGGTTAAAACCTCAGGCGCCTTTCTAAAACGCATGGTGTAATTCCAGCAATTGATTCAACAGTTTACGCACTTTATATGTTTATAGTCCACGTCATTTTACGCCACGTCGATTTGAAATATCACGAATACATTGTCGTTTCAACAGTTTACGACATTTATACAACATCATTTTGAACATATGTTTTGATACAATTGTCAATAAAAGAAATATATATATTTATTCCATAGTTAGCATGATATTCATAGGATAACATGTTAATGTTTGAAACTTTTAGTCGTCTCATCGCTTCTTCACCTTGAAGTTACTTTCCATAACGCATAATTTTGCTGAAACTGTCGTCCTTGTCTGACTTCTCTTCTGGGAACCAAGCGTATCTTTTGTATGCGGGTAACCACGTCCACGTACCGTTTCTGCCTGCCATTATTCTTCTGTGTACATTTGACCTGGATTTGTGGCGTCTTAACTTTAGATGGCGACGAATGTGTCTTCTATGCCTGTCCATTCTTGGTCCGGGCATGAATGCGCTCAAGTTCACATGTGCACTACGTTTTTCCCTGGTGTCTTGAGCCTCTTCAAATTTGGCAGGATATGCAGATTTAACTTCGATATCCCCATCAGTGATTTGGTTTGGTTTGGCAACGTTTTTGTGAAATCTAAGCACAGCAGCATTGTCCTGTTCAGCCAGAGAGTAGATAAGAATCACAGCCGCGATCATCAAATAACTGAAGATGCCCATAATTGTTGATCGCAATCTAATAGAAATGCTGCTCTGTCAAAGAAAGATTGAAGTGATGGAATTTTGATTCTGCACACCTTTTTAAATTAATACATTTAGCACTTATCCCAATTTAAAAAAAGGAAATAACATCAATAAGCTTTGAGGATGCAATCACCCTAGGTGAACTGAATGGGTTTATTTAATTAACATATGTATATATATCATTCTTAATTTGTTTGGGTATTAAAGGGGCGATAGCCCCGAGGCAATTATTTTCTCCTAAGACCCAAGACGAATGGTCTATCTAATGTAAGCCACACACCAGTCAGTGCATTGTGGTAATCCACTTACATTAAGTGTCGCCTGGTATGCGATCTGTAAGTGTCGCTAACACGACGTAGTGTCGCCTCATCTCAAGGTCATCTCAGCGAGACGTTTGCACGAGGAAATCAGCGACACTCGTACGTCGTTTTCGCAGATGTTAGCCATTTTTATTTTCATCTTTTAGAATGTTACGACCTGGTGTCTTTCCTTCAGATTCAAGCTCCTGCGCATCCCCCTCGAAAAAAAAACACATTCAGTATCCTAAAACATCATTCTACCACTCGACACTATGCATATTACAAAATTCATTTAGAAAAATGTAGAAATTAGCTGAAAAACTATTTATTTTGTTGTGCTAATCAAATATGCGAGCATGCGCAGATATTCAATTTCAATTCAATTCAAATTATTAAATTAAAATCAATCGTACAATGTTTCATACAATACATGAAAAAGATATACATTTCATGGCTAATTAGGTTTTCAACAATCGTGTTTTACTTATAAACCAGAAGCGATTTGAATTTAATTGAAAAAAGAACAGATGGAAGCACACAGTATCACTGGTATTGATTAATAAGATCAAGTTTGATCATTTTTTCGAACTGTTTTATATGGGTTGTCTTTTTAAAATCGGTTGACAAAGAACTATAAAGTGTCGCTCCACTGACCGCAATTGATTTACGACCAGTTTCAGTTCAAAATCTCTTTATTACCAAATTATATTTATTTCTCGTATCATGGGAATGTATGTCAATTCTCTCTTGAAAAAATGCTTGAAATTACGAGATGGAAAATCTTTTGATTCAGTCACAGTTTTCTGCACAAATGTAGCAATCTGAAATATACTTATGTCAAAAATATTTTATATTTTGAACTTTCTGAAGATAGGATTCGAAGGAGCAGTTCTTGGAGAGTCTGTCATTATTCTAAGGAATTTCTTTTGTAAAATAAAAAGTCTGTTCAAATGATTTTTCGTTACATTGTCCCACAGAATATTCCCATAACTAAGATAGGAATAAACTAAAGAATAGTAAGTAGTTAACAAGGCATTCAATGTCAATTTATGCCGAGTTTTATATATCAATCCAATTAAATTCGAAATTTTGGAGCAGAGTGTATTCATATGAGGAGCCCATATTAGCTTAGAGTCAATAATTACACCAATAAAATTAATATGATTAACCCTTTCTATTAATAAATAGATAATAAATAGGAGGGGACCTAAAACAGAACCTTGTGGTATCCCGTATTCAATATTAGAAGTAGATGATTGATATTTCATATCTGTTATAGTACATGAATCAATTTCAAAATCATGTATGGTATATTCAGTAATAATTTTCCTATTTTCAAGATTACTTTCAAACCAAGATAGTGTTGTACATCAGAAACCCATGCCTCTTTATCGTTTCAAAAAATTTACCCAACGTGGCGGTCTCTGTTAATTTATGGCATCCATACTTTTTTGAAAGGTAACACTTTGAGGTTCAATTTTCTGCCGGATGCCCTTGCAAACTCTCATTGGTTGCTCTGTATTGTAGCATTCCGTTACCATGGTTACGCATCTATAAACATCTTACCTTGGAATCTTAAATCATTTGTAACTTTGTCATTATTTGGTCTATATAGATGATATTGGTATCAAATTAAATCTAATTAAATTTCCCATAAACTAATTATATTCAATTATGCAAATTAGCTCATTTGCATAAATTGTGACGTCATCAATCAATTTTTGATTCAGAATTTTCAAGCATAGCAACGTATCTATTAGAACTGAGGCCGTATATCAAAATTTCTGCAAAGTTTGGTCCTTTAGACTATAAGAAGAAGGTATAAGCAACATAAAAGTGAAAACAGATTTCAAATTGGATCAGTATTACCGAAGTTATTAAACTTTCGAGGCAGCTACTGTGAATGTCATCATTTGACAATTATATTCAGACATCTTACCATGGAAGTTTAATATGTTTGTAGCTTTGTCATTATTTGGTCTATAGAAATGATATTGGTATCGAATTAAACCTTATTAAATTTCCTGTACGATTACAATGTTCAATTATGCAAAATAGCTAATTTGCATAAATTGTGACGCCATCAATCTATTTTGTTCAGAATATCTCAGTTTAGCAACATACCTATTAGAACTGAGGACGTATGGCGGAATGTGTGCATAGTTTTGACTTTATTTGATGAGTGGAAGATATAGGCATCATTCAAGAGACAACAGATTCAGAATTAGATCAGAATTAGCAGTTATTCAGCTTTTGGGGCAGCTACTGTGAACGACAATTATAAAAAGTTTTACAATAACGAAAAAAGAAACTAACATAGTTGTTTCAATCTTATTGAGTAAAAATGTACATATTCATATTATTCCATTGAACTGAACATGTAAGTATGTTAAAATGTTACATGTATTTTGACTATCATTCACAGGGGTCAAAAATGATTTCTAACATGTGAAAAGCTGAAAACAAAATTTTGTTGATATTTGAACATAAGCTAAATAAATCTTAATACCATTTTATATTCAAAATACAGATAGAGTGTCAACTTTAGAACTTGGGTCAAGTATTGAGGGAGTCACATCACACCCTCCAGGATGCATTCCTTTGATGGAGCTGTCAGACTTAGGCGTTGTAGCTCATCGTTTGCCACTGTGTGAATACTTTCCGGCAGATGGCAGGGTACTGGGTACTAATATGACAACTACTTTAGGGGAATTTTTTAACCTTTAAAATCCTTGGTGATTCAACCTTAGAATGATTTATGTTATAGCTTTTCTGAAAATGGACTATAAGCAGAAAGTAGGTACTTCAGGAAGCAAATTGAAAAGTAGTTTTTATATAATTTTACATAGTCTAACCTCTTTGATATGCAACGAAAAATGATGATAAAATCCATTCAAAGAGCTCAGTAGTACATGTAGTAGTACAGGTAATCCTGAAATTAAAGTCTGCTGAAATGGCCACGAAGAAAAAATGCCCTTTAAAAGAAGTGACTTTTGTAGGACTTAAACTAACCCTTCCTATATCTACATATAGGTTTCCTACATCTATCTCCTATGGAAGGATGTGTGCTATTATAGAACTTAATATCTAAACTTGTTTTAAAGGGTTTCCAAAATATGAAATATGTAAAAATCTATGAAAAAATATGAGTCTCAAATGGATAGATTCCAAGTATACCCCCATAGAGTATGGATACCATTCAAAACTGAGAACAGTAACAACAGGAGATTTTAGTGCAAAACAAAGGAGTTAATCACGTAGCATGATTGACAGAGATTGAATCTAAACTATTTTAATAAACTTTTTATAGTTTAGAAGTTTTAATATGGCATGAAAATAGCATACAGTTCAGGGACAACGAAAATACAACGAAAATAAGAAAAAAAAATTCTGTGACGCACAGCTGTCGTTTTTCAGAGCGACGCTAGAGTGGATTACCGCTGACTGGACACTGGGCAATGAGTCTTATTTTGCCCCTAAGTGACCTTTACTTTCATGGCAAACTTAAATGGGAGCTAAACAGTCAAGTCGAGTAACTAAGTCAACATTCGAAAATTAAAATCTCAAAAATCGTACATCTTTGATTTCCAAAATAATTTGTGGTTATTAAGATGATAACACACATTTTAACGTATTAATTTTGTGTACATCTCGAATCCATTCTCGACAAAGCGTTCTCGAAATAAGTATTCGAAATGTTTGAGTTCGGGATGATAAAAGTACGTTAAGATATATTGATAATTTATACTCGTTTGAGCGTAGCGATTTAAGAATATAAATACTTTCTTTAATGTGCAGTGAAGTGAAGTGAACTGTAATAAGACATGAAAGTCGTGTTCGTTTAGAGCGACTGTTTTTGATGAGTATTGGTCTCTATAGAGTGAGTAGTAGGTTTTCATTCTGGGCTTGGTCGCGCAACACTAAATTCCAAAATTTAATTAAAATTTCTTGACAATCTTTAGTTCGAGTAGAGTTTATTTTAGATATCCTGATAGGTTGAGAGGTGGTTACATACCTTTCCAAGGGGCATCGACTTCAGTCGAGTAGCATCTTTGGTTTTAATGGTGACCAACCACCTTAATATCAATCGGATAAATCGTAACATAACACGAAATGTGAATTACAAAATGTATCGGGCAAAATTATATCAGCAGACATCATAATTATGTACTCGCAATATGCACAATAAAGCTGTAGCGACCACAAGCCAAAGCTTGTCCTAAATTAGAAAAATTGGTTTTGTTAATGTAACGTAATGTAACGTAACGTACAGTATAGAACGCTCCTTAACAAATTCCTTTAGGAACAAGATATAGAATCAAAAGCATATTCTTCTTTTTTACTCCCTAACACATGCCGACGAATGTTACGTAGTAAATATCTCCGTTTTAAATAATTTTGTAAACGTTGTCCTCTACAGGTGCCATTTTTTTATAATTGAGAAACAAAATTGAAGATTTTGCATTTCTAAATTGATAAGTTTCTTGGAATACAACTTAACCGTTAACGATGTAAGTCATTAATAATATTTCCCTTGGTGATCCCATGCTAAAAAGACAGTAACTGGGTCAACGTTTTATGTTCAACCTTGTTTTCATGACTTTTAAACATGAGTCGACAATTATGTAGGAAATTTTAATTCCAAATGTAAGCGTGTCAACTCCTGTTTTTGCAAAATATTTAGCCTTTTATAATTATGTTGCTTATTGTAACTCTATTTTCTTACCATTTGCTCAGTTCTGAAATGCCATTAACACACGTAGTTAACATACCTGCATTGTCATCAGAGTTTAACACTTCCTTTTTATCCTCGGGTGAGTCTGTGAAGTACATAATCGCTCATTTTGGTGATTTAGCAACGTTAGTCCTCACATTCGGCAATTATAACAACTAAGAAAACGGCAACTCAATTGAAAAGTAAATCCCACCATAGGCCAATAGTAAGCTCAGTATAGAAACTCACAGGTTCACAACTTCAGTTCTGCATTTGTACAGCAAGCTGCAAAACTTGTTACAAGTGATTTGATCGGTTTAATAAATAAATTTTCACTGTTAGAGGTCAACAGTGACCAATCAAATCAATCATTACAAATGAGGAGGGAAAGTATCGCAACATATCACAACAATTTCGGACAGGCATATGTTATCTATGTTGGATTTTGGTTATTTTCTGAGGATTTAAACAGGTGCATATGTTAGGCCAATGTATTATCTCCAGGAAAAGCACCAATGAAGATGATAAAATAATTTCGATTTTGAGACAGGGAAGATGCAAACAACCCAACCACATGTTTTTTCTAAAGGGACAGCATCTTTTCCATTCAATCGAGGTTGGGCCATGCAGCCGAAGGTAAGCCATACAACTGACTGGACTGGAACAAATTTGAGCGGGCTTTTCAAATTTGAATTTCTATTGATGTAAGTGGAAATTCCTGGCTAGGAACAATCATCGAATTGATACTGTTAACGAATTAATTCAAGCCTCAGAATTGATAAGTTGATAAACAATCTTGTTTTACATCAAATAACACGAAAAAATCAGGGGGTTACTCTAATTGTGTTTTTAGGAGACCCGATCTCTTAAAAGGAATAAGTAATTCCTTCCGGGGTTTAAAGATATTCATTATGGGTGACCAAAATTAGCTGAAAGTAATGGATCGCATGAGTTTTCCCTATAGGAAAATAACATGGGAAATATTGTTTTCCACTTTATCGAAGAGGAATTACTTATTACTTTAAAGGGGTTAACTGTGTCTAAAAAAGCAAAATTGAGAATGCAGGGGTGGAAGGGGTTCAAAATCAGGACATTTAAAAAAACATGTGGGTGGGTTGTTTGAATCTCACCTCAGGTTTCAAAGTCGAAATTATTTTATCATCTCTATGAGTGCTTTACCTGGAAATAATTGCATTGGCCTAACATATGCACCTGTTTAAATCCTCAGAAAAACGTTAAATGAAATGGCATGCATTTTGATTGCGACATATGCCAACAACCTTTTTATAAAATTTTCTTAGGATATCACCTGGTTATATTTACCATTGGCTTCCTATCTTTCAATCAAGGTGCCACTCCCAAATAAATTCAAAATCCGGGGAACTGCTTTGAAAACAGCCAAGCTATCCATCTAAGTCAAAACGTTGTTTAAACACGTTCTCCATATGACCTCAACGAACTATTTTTGGTGAATACAATGATAACACCTGTGTCACTTACCCAAATCAAAGTTTCCTCTAGCCCAAATATCTGTTAAATAACCCACGCAGGTACAAATTACCATTAATGATAGTAACCATATATTCAAATTTAGCGCCAAGGTAACTAGGCCAAGGTCTATTTATATTTTCTTTTTATATCCGGGTCATGCTATGTTATCTCAACTGCATTTTCGTTGACGTTCCTTATCGCAAGAGCCCAGGTATGAGCTATATGAAAACAAGTCTCGAGCGCTGAGATTCATGAAACTACACGACTTTGTGTGTACCTCCAAAAAGACTTGTCAGGTAAATAATAGATATCAAGCATATTATTCCTCATTAAACGAAATATTCTTATTATCGCCCATTATCATAACATTTTTAAAGGCTCGAAGTAATCAAAGATCTAAATCAACTCGTACAGTCTGTTAAACTGCTTCAAAGGCAAGCATTTGAACCTGAAAAATAGGAAATCTTAAGACTATTGTGCAATAATATATATGAAAAATATATTCATATTGCACTCGAATGACATTTGTTACAAGATAATGATACGGTGACCACCTCGATTTTGAGATAAATGAACCTGTAGATAGCTACCATCATAAAGTTACCTTTTCGGGAAAATTGTTCTACTCCACATTGCTTTATAGACAGTTCACTTTAATACTTATCAGTTGTTATTGCAGTTCTTTTTTTAGCTGTTATGTTTGCCACTTCCCTTCAACAGGGACCCAGAAAATGTCAATAGTTTTGCCAAGTAGAGTTAGTAATTTGCATGCTTCCCTGATATGATGTCCGTAATGCCTGGTGTCCGATTTTTCAGTTTGGTTGCTAGTTTGGCTGGTCGACAGTCAGAGGTCATATTCTATTTGATCTATCTAAATATACGTATCTGATCTATCTGAATATGTTCTATCTGATGTCTTCAACATTCCGGGGAACATAATACGGTATAAAGATTTTTAAAAATAAATGTGATTTCAGATTGTCAATACAGAGGCTAGAAAATGACATCAGTGCTCAGGCCATTGCACTGCCTTTTGCCTGGCAGGGAACGAATAGCACTTTTACTTCTGAACCCTAATATTCATCAAATTAAAGAACAGTTTAATGTACTATGGGGAAATGGTAAGTTTCTCATATAAGTCAATGCCTATCCTTTTATTTTTATTTTTAATCTGTTTTAGGTTTTTAAATCTTTTTATATAAAAGCTGTCATCGTGCTGATTTAACTTGAATGATTATTTGTGTTTGTTTTTATCAAAATACACATTTATTAATTTTAAATAGTTATATTGTGTAATTGAATAAAAAGTATTTAACATACGCTTGTAGGCACGATAACACTTTTCCGCTAAAACACATCGCAACTCACAACCAAGTTGCGAATCAGGCGGCCGTTTCTCGAAACTTATCGTTATTAACGAATCGTTGATAGAGAGTCGTGGATTCGTTTCTATTGATACCACATCGTTAATGGAATAACGAGACCCCCATTCGTACTCGTAAAATCAATCATGGATAACGAAGGAATCGTTAAATCATGACGTCATCGCGAATCGTTAACTTTCGAGAAACGGGAAAGTCGTTATTAACAATTGAATTAACGTTTCGTTGATAACGAAACTTTCGAGAAACGGCCTCCAGTAAATTTAATATACAGGGTGGTCCAAAAAATCATTCACACTTTTGACAACGTAGCCTTTTGTTGGAGCATGGGGTCGATAGTTTGTGATGTGTCCAATCCACGCTCTGGTGCTGAATCGCTGAAGTTAATGATACATTTAGTAACAAGTTAGAAATGACCTTTAAAGTCCTGAAAAATCAAATCTAATATATAGGTACTTATTATACATAACTGAAATCAAAATGGCAAATTATATGCTTATAGTGTTGGTGAAAAAACTAATCACAACAAAATTTTCACATAGCTGTATTCCGAGTTGCGGTTGATGGTGGGGCCAATTCCATATACGATGCTGACAACTCCCTTGTTCCTGACATTGTCACAGGTGACTTTGATTCGATAAGGCCTGAAGTTAAAGAATACTACACTCAAAAGGCAAGTCATCGACTGTTATTGACTTTTCAGTAAAATAGCGTGTCATTGTCTTTGAATGTAATAGCCTAAGGTTTAGCCTTTCAATAGGAATATTACCAAATGGAGCCCCTGTGGAATTGTGGTATATAAGTAACAGGGGCGTAGCCAGGGTTCACAATAAGCAAGCCAAATCTAATAAGTAAAGGAAAACGTCTAAATAAGATAAAAATAAGATATAATTGTACCATTGGACCTTTAAACGTACAAGTGATGAAAATATTGCTTTTTGTTATAACGCTGGTCAGGGATGCTCAAAAGATAATATTTACATTATGGTCTATGTTAAAAAGTAATGTAACGGGGACACTCAAAAGATAATATTTACATAGTCATTATGATCTATGTTATGACAGGGATGTAACAGGGACATCCTAAAGATAATATTTACATAGTCATTATGATCTATGTTATAACAGGGATGTAACAGGGACATCCTAAAGATAATATTTACATAGTCATTATGATCTATGTTATAACAGGGATGTAACAGGGACATCCTAAAGATAATATTTACATAGTCATTATGATCTATGTTATAACAGGGATGTAACAGGGACATCCTAAAGATAATATTTACATAGTCATTATGATCTATGTTATAACAGGGATGTAACAGGGACATCCTAAAGATAATATTTACATAGTCATTATGATCTATGTGTAACTGGTGGGTTCTATGGGAAATTTGTTGTTGCTTTAATCAAATATGAAGATAGTTTTAAAATATCAAAACTTTATTAAAATTACACTTTATTAAAATTACACAGCAACCTTAACATGGCAATGTAGTATCTAGCTAACAGATTCAAAATTGGCTATTTGTAGTTATTACCATAGTACCACTAATTCAGATCCAAAACCAAAACCAGCCTATAAATACAAAATACAGAAAATCATGAGTTTCAGTTACACCATTTTGCGATACACTGTACGAAACGCAATTGTACATTTAAAGCTATTAATTGTATCAGTGAATCACGGATTATCCGTTTTATGGCAAAATACTGAAAATACTCATGAAATATAAAATAGTTATTGATTGTGACAATGAAATAAACGTGTCACTTATAATGAAACACAATATGTTTGTCATGTGATGTTAAAATACAGAAATGGAATATTTCTATCAAAATTTATATAACATTTCCATTTACCTGGTCAGGGCTGTAGAGATCTAGAAACTCTACACAGCTGAAGGCTGGTAACATGGGTGATTGACAATGGTATGAAAATCTAGTAGGAGTTCCTGAATACAAATTGAGGTTTCATAAATAATAGTCTATCAGAGACATTGAATACATTGAATACATTGTTTTTATGATTCTAAATGATAGATTAAAGGTTTTGAAGGAAATACTAGTTACCTAATGGTAAGCACAAATTGAATGTTCAAAATACATAGTTGTTGCAATTTGGGCATGAAATACAAAATCTCTCTTGTGAGTTCAAACACTCAAAATACAGAAAAATAACATATATTTAGTTTGAAATGGAGATAATAACATGTTTATTTATTAATTATGGTTGTTGGTGGTTGAGGAACCTTATTGAGGGTTTATTTACTTCCTGCGAAAGCTATATTGGATTTTGATATAATAGCTTTCCCACGGAGCATTTGGACAGCTCAATGATCGTGACCTTTGAAATCGAATTAAGTCGATCCGCGGCTTACTTTTGGTCTCTAACTGTGTCTTACATCAGAATCATCAATCCGTGTAAGTATCGGAGCGCTGGAGTACTTCTTTTTCGATCAAGACTTGTAATTGTTAGTCGAGTGAATCGTTTTACTGCCAAATTCCAATATGGCGGTTTCTGCTCGGACATTTTCGTAAATCTCCGGAGGTTGTCCGAACCTAACTAATTCTCAAAATTCATTTCGTTCGTTGCGTATCTCGCACCTAGCAAACCGCCATATTGGAAATAGGTCTAAAAAACTTTCACTCGATGAACAATTTACAAGTCTTGATCGAAAAAGACTGAAGTACTCCAGTGCTCCAATATATACACGGATTGATGATACTGATGTAAGACACAGTTAGAGACCAAAAGTAAGCCGCGGATCGACTTAATTCGATTTCAAAGGTCACTATTGATGAGCTGTTCACTTCTCCGTTTGAGAGCCATAAGTTTCAAAATCTAACATGGCTCTCGAAGTGAGTAAGGGTTTATGATATAAAATACAAGAAAAACTTACTGTAGGTGTTTCCTGTTCAAATATCCCATTGTCAATGTTGGAGTAGCAAAATGCTCCAATAGTGGCTGGGTTATTTGTCACATGATCGATAAACAAATTATAATGTGAAATGGTGGAAAATTCAAATACAAATATAAAATTACAACTTGAAATATGAATACTCTTTAGATGGTGCTGCCATCTTAATGTAATACGTAAATGTCCCATTTACATATGTTATAAAAGGGATGTAACAGGGACATCCTAAAGATAATATTTACATAGTCATTATGATCTATGTTATAACAGGGATGTAACAGGGACATCCTAAAGATAATATTTACATAGTCATTATGATCTATGTTAAAACAGGGATGTAACAGGGACATCCTAAAGATAATATGTACATAGTCATTATGATCTATGTTATAACAGGGATGTAACAGGGACATCCTAAAGATAATATTTACATTATGGTCTATGTTATAACAGGGATGTAACTGGGTCACCCAAATAAAATATTCAGATTATGGCGTTATAACAGGGATGTAACAGGGATACCCTAAAGATATTATTTATATTATGCTCTATGTTATAACAGGGACGTAACAGTGACACTCAAATTATATTTACATTATGGTCTATGTTATAACATGGATGTAACAGTGACACCCTAAAGATAATATTTACATTATGATCTTTGTTATAACAAGGATGTAACAGGAGCACCCTAAAGATAACAGGGATGTAACAGGGATATCCAAAAAGGTAATATTTAAATTATGCGGTCTATGTTATTACAGGGATGTACAGTGACACATACAGATGATCAAGATTATACTGATTTCACCAAAAGTCTGGCCATCACAACGAAACTCATCAGAGAAAAATCTTTAGATGTGAGTAATCATGAATTGGAAATGTTTTTTTCAGGTAATATAATAAATTATGTACATAGAATGTTATGGTCCCCAAGATTACAACCAGGAGGCTGTTTCTCCAAAGTTTCGTTATTAACGAATCGTTAATTCAATTGTAATAACGATTTTCCGTTTCTCGATGACGTCATGATTTTTAACGATTCATTCGTTATCCATGATTGATTTTACGAGTACGAACGGGGGTCCCGTTATTCCATTAACGATGCGGTGTCCATAGAAACGAATTCACGGTTCACTAATAACGATTCGTTAATAACGATAAGTTTCGAGAAACGGTATAATTGAACTATATCATGCAAGTTGACTAAAAGGAAGCTGAAGGAAAGGAAATCTTAAAATGTTTGAAGAAATCTTCAAATACATACCAGTGTTTTCTAAACAATCCTTACTTTATTTTCTACCACGCTTAGGTAGCAACACAATAGAAGAAAATAATGGCCTCGGTGCTATCACCCCTTTGACCATTATTTCTCCTAATACCCAAGACTCATTGTTTATCCCTAACAGAAAATAATTGTGATTACATGGAATGATGAGAGCAAGAAGTTTTTCGAAACCAGAAACCTTATTTTCTCTCTGTGGATAGTACCGTGGCTAAGGTTGAGTTGTATGCAAACAATTCTTCCCTGAAGGAGTATACAGTATAACGGTGGTGTGTAAATGCTATTTTTCCTCATTCCGCGAATTATCATTTATTATAGGTATCGTGTATAGTAGCTCTATTTTGCATGGACAACCGACTTGACCACATATTTGGCAACATGGTATCTTTGTACGATGCAAAGCAAATGACGGATCTGCCTGTTTATACATTGGCTGGAAAATCTCTAGCTTGTTTGCTTAGTAAGGTAAGAGCCGATTGATGAGATGGCTTTTAAGACCCTATTAAAGCTTGTAATTGTTCATTTATCATCATTGGTAAGATTGATATATTTGCTTGCTTTCAAAATGTAGGTACTTAATAACATTCATGTCGTTATGTCATGTGGTAGGTGTAACATTTCATGTTTCTCATCCTCTATGACATTGTTATTCGAGTATCATCAACTGCTATATATATATGCGCCTTAATCTTCACGTCTGAATGCCCATTGGCCCTACACCTCACATCATGCTCAAGAACGCCCTTCTATCCCATACCCTGCTTTTTATAATTTCCCCTAATGCGTTGCACCTGCTGCCGAGAAATGATACTAGCTGAATGGGAAGATTAAATTGTAAATCTCCGTTGAGTTAGATTCATCAATGGTTAATATAAATATAAGTTATGTATCATCATCCATTTGAACTGGTTTGAATTTGGGCATGCTCTCTTAGATTTAAGGTGGCCATTTTGGATAGCTGATTCCTGTTGGGCTTTGTTTGGATGAAAGATCGTTATAGGGTCTCCAAGGGCATGGACATGTTGTTCACGCTTATGTACTTGTTCAGAAATACATGAAATAAGAAATCAGCTCGTTCCATAGCAACTATTAGTATTTTGATTTTTTGCTAATTTTAAAGGGACCCAACACCTTACAAAACTTCTTAACGGAGAGGAATAAGGGAAAATGCTTGCCGGATTCTGAATCTGTGTATTTTTTAATGATTTTTCACCGTCTTAGAATTTCAATTTTTTTCTTTTGAAAAAATGAGATTTGCATTGTTTTCCAATTAGAAAAATGAGTAAACATGAATAGCTCGAAATCTAACGGTGAGATTTTGTTTTAAAAAATCATGGATATCAAGGCTAAATATAGCTATACAATAAACATAAAAAAGCAATGCTTGGACTCTTCATATTCACACAAAAAATTAATTAGTAAATGAGGTTTGATATTTGTGAGAATAAGTTGTACGAGTCGCAATGCTCTACAAACACCAGACTACAGGGTGGATTAGGATCAATGACACACATAAAAATTAATTAAAAAATATTTCATGATAATTATCTCAAACAAAAGCAGTTAGCGAAGGATACATTTCATTACACTCAATAAATAGTTATCACTTTTGACTATATATACATATCTCATGGGAATGTATTTCCATCTGCTCAAGATATCATATTTTAGCTTCGAAAATCACAATCGTTGGATAATACATTTGTCTCAGAATGATAGGCCACCCTGTAGCAATGTAGCTTTCACTTGAAGTGTACCCTTGAGAATAATGAACTTACTTTCGAATTGGTCTTGCTTTTGTGGTGTATGTGGCTTTTTAGCAAATCTGCCACGCTCATTTCTTTCCAGAACCATCTTGTTCACATGTAACACTAGGCTATACGCGCATGTATAGACAGATGACATAGATATACATATAAATTATATATTGCACCTGTATTTACTTACATGGGAATATTCCCTTTGGAAAAATGCAAATGCATGAACATATATTTTCATCTTATATATGACTACTTTGGGTCAGTTACCCCCCAATCACACCAAACTAGTTCTTTCCCGTTCTTGCCAGTCCTACGAAAACGTCGTAAAACGGGCTCAATCTGACTGTGGTCGGGAAATATGTCTAAAATAATTAGCTACTTCGTTCATAAGCAGCCTTCAATACGTCCATCTCATTCACAGTTCGTTCAGGTCGCACCACGTCGCACCACGTCGCACCACGCCGCACCACGTCGCACCACGTAGGTGTGCAACGTCGTATAACGCGTCCCTTAGTCTAGAAGGTCATCATGACCTGATTACAGAACGGTATGGTTGCCATCGAATTTTGAATCGATTCAAAATTCTAAATCACATTCCCCGTCCGGGAAAGTCCATGAAGTTCGTAAACAGACCGTAGAACGGTGTAGCTACGTTCATTCAGTTCGCACACAGTTTAAAACCGACTCGGCAACGTTTTGAAGAACGCAGTGATAACTGGTTCTGGTGTGATAGCTATTTTTGTTAATACGTTCATAAGCTACAAATTGACTAGATGAGGGTACTCACGGCTGCAATTTACGCCTGACTACACAACGTCGTAATACGTCCCTAGTAGGATTGAAGTACGACACTTCCGTTCGTAGTGTGTCCCCAGTGCGTTCAGGTCGTCTTAAGTACGTTGTCACTCGTTCTGATTGCAGAACGTGACGATCACCAGAAAATTTTGAGCATGCTCTAAGTTCTGGAGGACCTACTCGTTCGAGTAGTTTCATGAAGTTTGTAAACAGATCCCAATCGGTTATAGTGGGTTCTTAGTACGTCAAATCCGTTCGTGCACAGTTTAAGCCCGTTTTCGAGAACGTAGTGAGAACTAGTTTGGTGTGATAAATAAATGTATTTCAAATGTTTTTGGAGAAATTGATATACTATGAAAATATTGAAATATCCATACATTTTGGTAATGATAAAATACATAATTTGTAATTTCAGGGAAAACATACCCTTGAAGTAGATACTGGTATTGAAGGAGAATACTGTGGCTTGATTCCACTTGGCAAACCTTGTCACGTGACAACTACAGGGTTAAAGTGGAATCTCCCAGTAGGTAAGTTTAAACTCGAGAAAGGAGGGTTAGTTACCGAGTTTCATTCCCGATCCCAGGGCGATTCATTTACTCCAATTTTTAGTACAGCGCACTCAACCAAGAAATGATACTAACTGAATGGGAAGATTAAATTGTAAATCTCCGTTGAGTTAGTTTCATCAATGGTTAATATAAATATAAGTTATATATCATCATTCATTTGAACTGGTTTAAATTTGGGCATGCTCTGTTAGCACATTTCATTTCTTCTCATCTCACCCAATGTATATGGCTGGTTAATAGTCCATGGTATCACTTCCGAAAATGAAGCATCCGTAGCACACTATAGCGCAGGGACATTTGAAGCAATATTTATGGAGGTGCATATGTCTTGATTCTTTTAAAATACCATTTGCTGAAAAAACTTCCGGCTTTCGGGTCGAAAAATGTCTTTCATCACAAGGGGTCCAAAAACGTAAATATTTTGATTCGAACTTTTATACATTTTATAAGACTCTGGCCATTATTCTAAGCATACGATTAAAAAATAGATTATCGTAATGTAAAAATATACTTTAATTTTACTGTGGAAGTAGGTGTTTAATTAGTGTAATTACGCAAGTGTGTTTTTCAGATTTTGTCTGATTTTTCAAATATGAGCCAAGCAGATTCAACAAAATTGTATGGAATATTTAGGTAATTTATAATTGGGAATATATTAGTTTTCTTACCATTTAAAACATTTTATTACCAGATGTTTTCCATATAATCGCAAGGGGTCAAACAACAAATTATTGTTCATGTTTTATAGAACACAATACAATAATAAATAGGTAAGATTTATATCAAATTAAATGTTAAAGAGGTATTGGAATGTTCATATATTCCAAGGGCATATCTAATAATCAATTAGAGTTATATGCAATCGAACGCCTTACAATTCTTCCTCGACGTTACTGCTGGCTATCATCAAGTTTTTTGATGGTTGCTTCTTCTTTGACCTTACCGCTGGATATAAGCAGATTTTAGGAAGATAATGATAACCATTTTTCTCAATTATTCAGGATTTCGACCAAGTCTTGGTGTTCTTTTAAAAGCAACTGAGCTATACCTAACTACGAGAAATATAATTTCCAGCTGTAGTCCCAATTAGTCAAGGAAGAGCAATAGGCTCTCCTTTATTTTTAATGTTCACCGCTGAATAAAAGTCAATATCTCAAAACGTATTGAGACCCATTTTGTGAAAATCTAACATAATTTAAGCATATGTCATTCTACTATAAAAGTGATTAATTTCTAGCATTAATCTTATTAATACCTGAGAAACAATACAAAACGTCGATGTACCGATTACATAATGTTTTGGTATTGATAAGAAAAATAACCTCAAACGTATAGCTTAGAAACCTAGATCATATATTTAAAATATTTTTGTATTATTTGCTGTTGCATTGTGTTCTTCAAACTGTGAAAAATTGGGATTTTATTTTTTGGTAATTTTTTGACCTCTGTTAATGGCAGGCATAATTCACCCTAAAAGCCGGAAGTATATTAAATGGTTATAATAAAAATTATTAGGGAACATATGTAGGTATGTTAATGTTAGGTCAAATATCGCTGCGCTATAGTGTGCTACCATCTCTTTTATTAGACGTCCTGGATATTTCATACCATGGACTATAACTTTGGAGAGGTCTAGCCTTACGATATTTGTAGCATTTATCATTTTATCTTTTGTAGGCGACGACCCACTGCAGTTTGGAGGTTTAGTGAGTACCTCGAATGGGTTCGATGGGTCTGGAATGGTTACCATAGAAACAGATAATCCATTACTCTGGACAATGGAGACAACTTAGCATTGTTTCAGATATAGGCATATACTCCAGTATAGAAATTTGAAAATCCAGCATTAACTTTTGGAGAGAATGATGATTTCTTGAACAATGGCTACTTCCCCATGTCAGTGCTCTGTCTCTTTAAATAATTGAGATTACTCCAAAGTTCAAACTAGTGTTGCTCGTGTAAAAAGTTGGTATCTCATCATAATGAAATGAATTGGGATTGTTCGCTATGGTGGATCAGATTCTAACATGAAATTAAGACCCACCATAGCAGACAAAGAACATTATTTTTTGCAAAAAATAAAAGGAACCTGCAACTCTACTAACACTCACTAAGTAAATGCTCACTAATACTCATTAAGTAAATACCCACTAATACTTCCAGAATTATGATGAAAACATATTATGTAAATATTATCACGTCATCATAATATGGTGATATTAAAAAGTTAAAAAGAAAAAAACGTACATTTTAGAGTTCGATTTGAATTAGGATAATAAGTAAATGTAATATTTTAATGTGTAATGAAATAGTAAAAATCCAGTACTTGTATACAGGTTAAAAATAAATTGTAGAATGATTTTACATGATTTGTTTTTTTTATGTCAAAAGGATGACACATTTCACTTCTTATGTGTCTATCAAAAATGCTAAATTCACTCTGTTGACATTAGTTTTATTCGTTATTTTAACTTATCATTGATATGACCAGTATCACAATAGAGGAGTTTCTAAATAACTTTGAAATCTCGCTAATTCTCGTTTTTATATGAGATTTTAAGAGATTTGCACGTTTTTCCTCTAATGAATTACTTTTCTTTATTTTTGATAGCATATTTTGATTCAATGACACATTTTCTCCAATTATAGCTTTGATTTACACAGTTATGTCATTTAAATCATTTTCCATGACATTTTAAAAAAACTTGGGCCAAATCTCCATTGGTGCAATGCTGAAATTCATTAAAACCTTGATTTATTCGTATGACAACCAATTTTTTCATGTTTAATCACAATATGTACATTGACAGGGCTTTCCAATAGTATTCCATTCGAGTTTCAGACATATCCAACCAACACTTTTTGATAAATCATGAAATTAAGTGACTATTGCAAGTTTCTAACGTTGAAGTGAGTGGAGGTCTGGCCCTAGAAAATCAAAGACAAGCAAGGGTGACATCTATTATGTTAGCATTTTTCAGCTATTTAGAAACTATACAATTGTCTCGATGAGAATGATACCCAACTTATTGAAATAGGTGAAAGTATGGTTGACCCAGATATCAGATGCAAAATGAAACATTATATGAATGATACATGCATGACAAAAAATATATGCAAAGACAAAAAATTACATGCACGACAAAAAGTGATTCAACTCAAACCAACACTGACGAGATATTTTCATCTCCAAGTAAACCCGCCTCACATCTGCTCGATAAGTGAAGTTATTGATTTGATTAGACAGCCAATCAGATGTTCGAAAGAAGGGTAATTTTCTAGTTAAGGGGAATATTCTGGGACAATGAAGCACGCTTCGAGCTAATATTTAAAATCTCTATCGCAATAACTTGTTATTGAAACATTAGTGAACCATTTGTAAAATTAACGATACGAAATATAAATCACAGAATGATCACTCCGCATGAGGAATAGAAGCAATGCTAGCCAATACAAAACATCTTTTTATTTTTATTTTCGTTGGATTTGCCAGTTGTGGAATACAGACGAAAAGTTTCAGAATGGGACTACTTGTACCTCGATATGGAGCTCTTGAATACGTTGGCTGGGAAACAAACGCTGCAGCTACAACTATGGCTATTGAAGATGCTAAAAAGATGCAGCTTTTACCAAATTATAACCTGAGGTAAGAAAAATGGCTATATCGTGATAATGATCAATTATCAACAGATTAACAACGGCATGTTTTTAATTTGTAATTAAAAAAAATAATTTCGCAACCAAAACGACGAGAAAGGATTAATCCTTTTTCCATTCGACCATTACTATACAGGGCGTATAAAAAAAACACAACAAGTAGTTATCTCGTTAAATCACAAAACTAGTGATGACTTCATCAATTTCATTCAATGTATAATAAAGCCACGTCTCTCCTCTTTGCCGAAGGTTGCACTCGCAACTACAAGCTAAGATGTCATTTCTGGCGGAAGATTTCACTGTAGGTTGGACTCACATCCAACAATGATGTCTGGCTCAAGTCGTTGGTTGCACTTCCCTTCTGACCCGAGTCTCCGACAAAGTTGCTTATATAGAAACACAATAAAGCTTTTGGGTTTTAAATGTGTTTTCCACCTCACACCCTCTTAACATTTGGCCCCTCAACAGGACGCTAAACATATTATTTTTAAACTTTTAATGGCCTCACTTCAAAACAACCATGAAATGATCACGGCATCAATTCAAATCGTCCAAAGAATGGCGGGAACCTAAGTGTTAGGTAATATGAATCTCAGATTAAATATGCAAATTCATCCCTAAGACGCGGGGAGTCCCAATCCATCAACTGGAAGACCAAGTTAAAGCATTGAAATTGACTCATAGCATGAGCACGAAAAAAATATTACAGAAACAAAAAATCAAAAAAAATCAATGCCAAAGAGGCATGTGTAATTAAAATCAACAATGTACCACAATAGACTAGATGCGAGTAGAAAAAAATCTTGTCATTAAATATTCAAAATTCAGTCAAAGTGATGTCATATTTGAAATGTACAGGTAAAAGTAAATCTAGAGATATGGTTTCGAAAATTGTTTATCAACTTTGATTTTTTTTTGAAAATATGACTTCTAGCTCGGGATGATTCCCCATAGACCCCATGTTACAAAATCATAAACAGTGAAATATCTTTTCTTGTATTGGACAGATAACATTTTCTTTTGCTGGACATATTTTATTTGCATAACTATTAGATACATAAGGGTTATATGAAAATTGAACCACTAAAACAGATGTAATTTAAGTTAAAGCGAACTTTCTACTATACCCGCCATGCTATCTGACCCGGATGAGCCATCTGGTGGTGAAACTGGTAACTACCTACTCGCATCTGCGTTATTGGTACTAACATATTGGAAGTACTATCGGTGAGATAGTGATATTTTTGCAAAAAGGTGCTTGCTTGTATTATGACGTTTAAGATCTCGTTTTGAGCAGTCCTACCTCAAGTTAAAATTCACCAGATGAAATGTTGTTCAACAAATGTTGGGTCTATGTTTATGCACTTATCCCAATTTTCTCCAGAATTTACTTTTGGATTGAATAGCTTGTAATGGATACTCATGTTGTCATAAAATTCCGATATTTATAACTTTTTTATTTCATCATTCTTTTCTATCCATTAGGCAAAGAGAATTGCAGCACTTATTCATGAAACGTCTCATGTGATTTCTCGTAAACCTTTTTCATCGTCACGCAGTCATTAGTGCGAGTGTTTTTGTCTGTGTACATTATCATATCATGATCTTCATCTTAAATGTTCATCTTTAATTTTTGTCTTGTTTTTCAAGAGCATCCATTTTGTTTTTCAAAAGCATCCATTGTTGAATAGACACATATTTTGTAATGTTGAGAATGATATTCTCCACCATGATGTTATAAACATTATACAGATTCAGAATAACTTCCATAATGAAGCGGAATACTCCCTTCTTTTGATTCATTGAAGGCAGAATGGCGAATAGTTGACCAACTGTATTTTGCATTGGTGAGAGTTGTGTAATTGTGATAAACAAACTAAAATTGGACTTTAAAAGACAGTCACATGCTAATCTAGCTTACGGTGCAGAAAGTGCCATCGCTACGCAATTTTCCTGATTATATTTGTATAATTGCTTGTTTCCTTTATTCTATAATGTATAGAGACGTGACATTTCTTTGAGTGAATGTACAAATGACTAATCCTCTTACACGCCTGGTAATCGAAAAAATGAACGGAGAGGGAGTAGCTAATTTCTGCTAGAAAAATTCAACAAATCTGCAAAATAGATTTTTACGAGAAAAGGATTGGTATCGATATGGAGAACTTAATTCAACAATGTTTTTCTCTTGAACCAATTATTGAAAACATTCTGATTGACAACAATTTAATGCGAAAATAATTTATATATATTTTATATAACTGTTTTTGTTAATATTTTTTGTTTTTAGTGCAAATGATTTTTTGTTCCTTTTTACCATTTCTTGAGAATGAAATAAAATATCTTTCCGAAGCTTGTTTGAACAAAATAGCATATATAAAGGTTATGTACTGGGAGGTTTTGGATACAGGGCTTATCCCAAGGGAAATATGTGTACCTCACGAGGGACCGCAGGGACCGAGGGAGATACACATATTTCCAGCGGGAAAAACACTGTATCCAAAGCCGACCGTACATAACTGGTGTATCTCATACTTGAGTGGGTTTGGGGTAGATATTACCTTTACCACCTTTTTCAAATGACAAGATAGGCCTATACTGTAAAAGCACAATTTATATTTAACATTTTCATAATATTCCTTCAGTTCAATACAATAGAATTGTAACATTTAAACTTTTTGAAAAATTTTTAACTTCTGAAATTTAAATATTTAAACTTTTGAAAAAATTCCCGGGAGCGGGTTGGATACACTATATCTGCCCGCATTTGGCCTAGAGCGGGACATATACAATATATCATGCCCGCTCCTCAGATATGATATATATTCCCGGGTGATATCTACCCCAAACCCACTCAAGTATGAAATACACAACATTACACGTTGTGTTTATGTCATTTTGTTCCAATGAGGTTCGGATAGATGTTTCATTTCATTCGGAACATATGAAACCAAGAACAAAAGAAGTGTCCAATGTGTTTTCTAAAACAATAAAGAGAAAGGTATATATCTATTTCAAATTATATTGTTACCAAATAAAAGATGACCATTAAATTGACAATGTGTAAAATTTTCAGAAATTTTTGATTACTGGTTTAAGAGAAACATGTGTTCAAAAAGTTCGCCATATCGATACCAATCCTTTACGAATAAATCGATAATGAATAAGAATAAGTATACGGTATGGTATACGTAAAAACTATGATTTTTCTAACTGAAGTGTGAGATCTATATCAAAAGATACAAAGTAACCAGCGTGCAAAAGTCAATATTTTTGTTACCAATTAAGGAGTAGTAATCTACACGGCCTGCAATATGAAGTAATCATCACAAAATGAATCTTTTAACAACGGTTTTCAAGTTATTTTTTTAAACAGTAACGTCTTTGTGATGGTAATTTCATCTATTAGTATTAATAACAAGTCATAGAAACCCCCACTGCTTAGTTTCTAGCAAAAAGATTGACTTTTGCACGTTGGTGACATTGCGCTTTTTTAAATAGAAGTCAGTTAAGAAAATGTTTGTTCGCTTTCTAAAAAAAATTCCTGGATCGTAAAAGGGAGGCGATGTTAAAAATATATTTAGCTTTGAATGGCCTTTGGTTTAAACACCAAAACTGGTGATTGAAGTGATAAGATAGCGACCCTGAGTGCGGTTATGCACGCGCACTCCATTGTCAAGATAAGTTAGTGTATTTTCTAAAAATTCATACCTAATAAAACCAATTGATAAAATCAAAAGGACTGGTAGCGTTTTCGACCGACATTGTAGGAAATTAAAATTACTGTGTTCTGTGTGAATATATTTAAATGAGCGACTAACATGTTCTTTATCGAATTCTTGACTGTTGATAAGATGATCATGTTTAGGGGTATGTCAGAAATGATCTACTAAATCGAGTATGGCAGAAACATTGGTACTGCCAATGCTACTTGATTATTCTGTGCTCACCAGTCATTAATATCAACCGAAATATGAGTTAATCATTCCTGGAGAGAAGGCTACATTGATTCAAAAGAGATACTCATCTTGTTGTAAACAAAATACCATAAGATAAGGATCAAACTCCAATCAACTACATCCGAGTTACCAGGTTACAGTGCTCGTGTAGAATCGAGGAGAATCACCCCAATCAATTTATTCAAGCCTCCCAAGTAGTTTATTATTTGGTAAGATAATATATTGGCATTATTTTTCAATGGTTTATTACCAAAACAAAATGAAGAAAGATATCACGAGATAAACTTACCAACCCATGAGCTAAAGTGGGTTTCCTGAAAGAAGACGGTTTTGATAATATTCAACTGCTTTTAAGATGACATGCCAGTAAATAAATAAGACGAGTGGGTAGACTGTAAATCTAGTAAATCTAGTAAATCTCGTAAATCTCGTAAATCTAGTAAATCTTTTAAAATCTTGTAAAATCTTGTAAACTTTTTAGGGACCATTCATTTGATATCAATGTCAGTCTCTATGAAGAGTAATGGTGGTTATGATTCCTTTTACAACATTAGAAAAATACCTTCTCTGCATTAAAATTCAGAGTCATTCCTTTCATCTAATAATCAATATACAAATTTTTTAACAAAATTGTGAAATATTATAATAAAAAAGAATGTTTAAGGGACTGATATGATATGGCTTTAAACTATTAATTACACGGAATACAAGGAACATGTCATCATCAAAACGTAAATGGAAAGCATTGTAGAAATGTCATACTATACTTTATGTATAGGTAAAGCAAATAGATCAATCAGTACCCTGCGTGCAGAGTCTAGTTAAACTACGACGAAGCTCTCTTTTAAGAAGTGAAGTCAAACGAATGCAAAGGGTAATCAATCAGTAAGTTGTCTCACTCTTCCCCTTACTACAGCATTTGATTGTTTTTATTTTTTTTTTTTGGGGGGGGGGGGGTTGGCAAAAATCAATTTTGAATTTGCCATTTATCCATTCCTCTAACATTGGAACTTCTACAAATATTGTCAAT